AACAAAAAAGAATTCTCATTCGGTAATTTAGCTTTGAAAGGTGAAACACCATCAACATTTGAAAACAACTAGCATAATTCAAGAATTATGTTTAAAAAGCCAGAATAATATGCAAAATTTCGGGTGAAAAATGATGGCTTACAGAATAAAGATTCATTGAGGTTACGTAATTTGTGGATAAAGAACAGAAAATTCATAATGCTAACAGTTACCAGGCAAATTCCACATCAGCTAGCAGTTTTGAATAAAAGTAAGCAAGTGTCAATAAACTGAGACAGCCTCTATCAGCCACCCCTCACGGGGGTGTTCAAAAGAAGACGTTTCCTCCACTCATTTGCGCCCTGAGACGTGAAAATGAAGGCGAGTTGTTGGAACTGCGCCAGTCGCATTCTCTTCTCATGGAGATTAGTCGTTGTTCGCCAATTCTCAAAGGCACCATATGCTGGTTCGATATTGACCGGTTGGCTATGGTCAATGAATAGAGGAGGCAGCGGCACTTATCTGCACGCGTTTATTAGAGTTTTGCTCTTATATGAATCAGGGGATCAGAAATGCTAGATTAGGTGCGTTATCTGTTAACAGCAGCGAACAGTAGTTTTTTGTTAGTAGATGAAACAAACAGCAGTTTCGTCGTATAACTTTGATTACAGGAAACAAAATAGTTGGCGCCAAATATCTGATTTTGACCGAGAATTTTTTTGGACTCTCTATCAGTTTTTATCTACTTCTTTTATTTTTATTTTTTTATGCCATGCAAAAAGAATTCTTGTTTTGTTTTGTAGATATTTATAGGAGTTATGTTAGGAAAGCGTTGACAAAGCATTATTTTTTTTTTAAATTTTCTACTTAGTCACGACTTTCTTGCATCATCGGTTCTTTATGTCAAAGTTTTATTTTGTTTCAGTAATGAACGACGGTAGGGAGGATGTCAAAAAAAATTCGGTAGAGCCACTGTTGCCAAACTACTTGACGATAAAAAGGACTCCACCCGCACGTGGACACGACTTTCGGTTCAAATGCTATATTGTAATTTCGATGACGTTGCTATGGACGGGTTATGCAGTCACAACGCGATACATTCGTTATGTCAATTTAGGAAAGCAGGTTTAATTTCGGCTAAAATTAATGTGTATCATATTTTTTAATTCATTCGGTAGAAAGAGGCTGTTTCACCGTGTAAATTTTAATTTTCATTTTGGCGAATGAGAAGAAGTTTGACGATTCATAGGCCATGAGAATTCAGTTTGTTTTAAATTAAATGTGAGGAAGAAGCGGAAGTCTTAAAAAATTTGAGCAAAAACTGCAACTCTTTGTTAATAATAAAGAAATCCAAAGACTTACACTCCCATCAGGTTGTTGCCTGGTATTCGTGTTTTTACCCTCTTCTTTACTTTTTGGGTTGCTCTTATTAAATTGTGATGAAAATAAAAGCAGATTCATCTTCTGCCTAAAATGTCAATTGAAGTTTGAAATTGTTTACTGGCACTTTTTTTTAAATTGCGTTGTAGAAAAGCAATTTAAAAAAATATTTCTCGTTAAAATGCCGGTTGTCTAGTCTCGATTTTCTAATAATCAATAAAAAGTTGAAGAGAAGGTAAATATTGTCTGTGTGAACAGTGGTTGTACTAAAAAGAGATAATAACATTTTTACTGTCAATCCTATTTCTTTATTTCAGGTCTATTCGACAACTACGGTGGTTCTTCTTTCAGAATGTGTAAAAGTTTTTGTTACTCTCACTTGCCTGTTCAAGGAGGCTAACTGGAGTTGTTCTGAATTCAAAAAGGTTTGTTCTTTTCACAATGAATGGTTCTTGTTCTTTATCTGTGTTCTTTAAAATTTTGCCCTTAAACTATATGTTTTTCAAACTGTAGAAGTATAGTTCAATTCCCGCATCTGTTTCAGTCTATTATTGACGACTTTGTACATAAACCTTTGGAGTTGTTGAAAATGAGCGTCCCTTCCATAACTTATGTTATACAGAATAATCTAGACATTGTAGCATTGTCAAACTTAGATCCAGGGACGTACCAGGTAATTTCCAAAACTTATTAATGCTTTTTTTCTTCGCAGTAATTTGCTTTCTTGATATAAGTTCTTTTTATTTTTTAGCCGAATTTCTGTTCCTCTTTGTGTGTCTTTTTGTGATATTGATAAAGGAATTTTCAGAAGGGATTTGTTTCTAACATGAATGAAAAAAAGATTACATTTTGGGAAATTTTTTAGAATTGTCAGAAATTTTATATCTAGTTTATGTATGACGTTTGGATTACAAAAAAAATCCTTAGTTATCTTTATTGATTACCGCTGATTGTTTGTCAGTTTCTTTACTTGTTTCTTGAAAAAGTATCAGTAGTTTTGAAATTTGAGTTGAAAAGAACCACTGTGTTCACAAATAATTGTCTCAAGAGGTTTTTTTATTGATTAAGATAATTGACAGAAGCCAAAATTATTGTTTAGTATCCCGGAAATTAGACATTTTTCTTCTAGGTTACTACGCAACTAAAAGTGCTTACTACTGCAGTATTTATGATGATTTTTTTGGGAAGAAGGTTTTCCTCTCGTAGATGGATCTCCATTTTTCTCTTATTCATCGGTGTTGCTGCTGTGCAGGTAAAGGAACTTTTTTTTTTCAAAGATTTATATATTGGAATTTTATTTTTTTTTTCGAAGTAATACTTTTTTGTTTCTTTCATCATATTTTTCTGTTGAAGAAGGTTGATATGAACTGTTGGTATCTGTAGATAAACTTTAGTTTTAAGGTGAATGCGGTGGAAGCCCAAACTGAAATCAGAATTACTGGTGATAATTACGCACTTGGCATTATTGCGGTATTACTAACTTGCGTTACAGCTGGTTTTGCAGGTAAATATTAGGTGATTTTTTTGTTTGACTACGTTGTAATCTCATGCTGAAAAGTTTTTTCCAAATTCTAGTTGGGAATTGAGATTTTTATATGGAGTTGAAATTTTGCTAATGTTAGAGGATGTTGGGGATGACTTCTCCTTTCTGATTTACTGTTCTCAATTTCGCATGGCTTTGCTACGATGCCAAAGGTTTCGAGCCGCTATCTGATTCATAACAATTAAGCTATTTATATGTATCTTGCCGAAATTTGTGTTTTAGGGGAAACCGCAATTTAAAAAAGCTTGGGCAAAGCATTGGACAGTATTTCTTTTGTTTTTGGCTTTTAAGGTTATTGGAAGACGATTGTTGAATTGAAAATACGAGATTCAATGTCAGGCTACTGTTTCAATGCGGTTGACGACTGCATGTCTTTTAAAATTGTCTCCATTACAGGCGTCTACTTTGAAATGATGTTGAAAGATAGGAGCAATACGCGTTTGTGGATTCGAAATCTTCAAATGTACTCCTGTGGAGTTATTACAGCCGGGCTGGGTTGCTATTTAAACGATATAAACAGCATAAAAGCAAATGGATTTTTCAACGGCTACGATCTCAAAGTTTTTGCTGTTGTCGGGTTTCTCAGTTTTGGTACGTTGTCACTTTCCATGTTTTTACTTTTTTGCCTTTCGACAATCGATAGTCTGGTATTACGGTTTTTATTGATTTCGGTAATTTAGCAGTTATTACGCAATTTTTAGGAGGCGTCTACATCTCGCTCGTTATGAAATATTTGGACAACCTTTACAAAAGTTTTGCTTCAGCATCTAGTATTGTTTTGGTTTCTATAATCTCACTATTTCTTTTTGATAATGTTTATTTGGGACTTTGTTTTGTTGGCGGAGCTTCCTTGGTCATTTTTGCGATTCTGTTGTACAATTCCGTTCCAGAATAGCAATTGCTGCCAGAAACTTTCACCTTTTTGCTAGATTTAAATTTCTTACGAAAAAATTTGATTTTCTTTCTGTTATGGCCTTGAAAATTTTGTCTTGTAACTATAAAATCATTATTACCTTTCCATTTTTGTGGAATCAGTCACCTGATCAAAATCAATTTAACTGATATTCCTTCTTAAGTTGTAGCATTTTAAACAATTTTGACATTTTCAAAAAGTTCTTTCAAATTTATTTACAATTTTTCAAGTCCAGATCGTTTACGGGTCGTACTTTATGAGGTTTTCAGAAGTTGTTAAAAACAGCTTTTGAAGACGGCATACTTATTTTGCTGAGTGCTTTTAAAATCTTTTAAAGTATTTAATATATTAGCTATGGAATCCGGCATAAACTAGCTTTTTTTAAGGAAGTATTTGTTTGTGCATTCAGAACTACGTATTTTATGAAAAATCTTTACTTCTTCTATAATATTTTAACGAAGTCATGAATTCTGAGTAATGCAGTGTACTTGGAGAAGAGTTATGGTACTTCACTTAGATTTATTTATACATATCTTAAATGCTTATTGGTCTTGGTGATGCCAAATAAGTTTTTTGACGCTGCACATTTCCGAATTAGCCCAGAAATAATAGTTTTATTTTTTACATTCCTGGCCTGATGTATTAAACGTGGAATTCGAATAGGAAAATTTTGGCCGATTATCTCTGAAATTCATGACTCTCAGAGCGTCTTTAGCTTCTAAGCCGATTCTTCCTGAACTTCTCCCAGTGACGAGTGTAGTTCTCTTCCAACAAATTCGGAATTATTATATCTGGCTTGTAGTTCTATTTGTAAATTTTGATGGATTTGGTCTTTTGCTCTAAAATATTTCTATTTGTCTGCTCTTTTCTTTATTGCTGATTTAATTTTTCATTTGATCATAACTTCTTGTCTCTTCCTGCTTTTTTTGAATTAATTACAAAGAAGGGTGATAATGTATTCTTAAACCGGCGGATGACTCCATACTCGATCAGTATTACTCTATAGGACTTCCATTTCATGCTATATCGATAATTGACGAGTCTTGTTAAAATTCGTTTGTAAAGTAGTTCAGAGCTAAATAAAATTTTTTTTGTAAATTGTCCTGAAAAACAACAAAAAAGAAATATAAACTATTTTGTCCACAGTTAGATGACAGATAACAGTTGGGCTTTGAAAACAGCAACAATTAGCCGGTAGCTACAGCGAAATTTAGTGTATTGGAAGAGTGCTGATCATAGTGTTCATTTTCGTTCATAATGTAGTGGTCTAGAAACCGTAGAAAATAAATATGATACCAGGGATAAAAACGGATTATAATTTTGCGCTGAAATTAATTACATCAAAATAATTTACAGTAAAAAAAGATTATTGAATGAACAACGAAGTTGTGTAAACTGTGACGATTTCCTCCACTAAAAAAAAGAACTGGCCAGAATTTATGAATCTGTTTTAGTTCCTACAAGTCGATGATACCAATTTTATACTGTTCTTACAACAGTAAAACGTTGGCTTCCCATTACTCGTTACTGAGCTGTATGACACTAAAGTAAAGTAGCAGTTTGACTGATCGATTGATCACAGTATGCACTAACTAGCTGTCTTTCTACATAATGGGAGCTGATTAAAAATTATTTAGTTGTTAGTTATGAAAATGAACACTGTTCTAAGACCAGTTTATTTGAACGGATTTTTTGGTTGGCATTTTTCCAGGAGGCAAGAATTATCGCTTTTTTTCATTAATGTATACTATGTGCAAATATTGAATAAGGAGCGGAGTGCGGAGGAGTATAGTGTAGGGAGAGTTCTGCGTTTGTCTGTGTGCGTATTAGTGAGGGATGTCACCGACAGCAATGTGCAACCAAAAATAAAAAGAATCAGCCGGCCACATTACTGTTGCATCAAAGGGAGCTGTTGAACAATTGGTTGCGGTTGAGAAATGAGATGAATTTACAGATTTTTTTCATCATAGTTCTACAATAATTGGAATAAAAGTCACTGAAAAGTCGGTTACCTTGAATTGCGTAATATTTGTGTGTCGCTTCACTATCAGCTATCAGTGGGTTAAGTCGTTTTTTTTTAAACGATGACTAGTTATCCGAACTATCAACAGCAATTCCCGCAACCCAATCCGCCGTATCCTGTTAACGAACCGTCGATATTGGCTCCTAGACCGTCGGCCCCGATACCCGCCGGACCGCTTGGAGGTAATTTCTCTGTTTCTTCTCTTTCTTTATCCTTTTCTTTTTTTTCCTTTTAGTGTTCTGCAGAATTGCTTTTAAAAGATGATCTAGATAATTAATGAGTGCCACTTCTTCTGTATCTGTTCCTTCTCACTCAACCCTTTTGTAGACTAGATTAAGAAGAACAGTAGTTGAAGCATTGATAATTTAAAGCGATCTAGGTATGTACTGTTTGTTTTACAGGTGTGACAAAAACCGCTTAGTAAAAAAGCAGTTGTGTATGTTTTTTCTAATGTTAGCGCTTGTTTACTTAGTCATTTTATATGGGAAATAACAGAAGGATTTCAACTTGCCAAATAACTGATATTTAACGCTTTAATTCTTCAAGGCTTTTTTGTAAAGAAAAGTTTTTAAGCCTGTTTTTAAAACCCAGCTTAATTCTCGGCTTTTAAGCTGAAAGATTATGTGGTTCTATCTTCTACATACTTGATCGGGGAAATATTCTTTTATTGATTACTTCTTCAATTTTTTTTGCAAGTCATGTTTCAGTGAAGTATGACGATGCACTGACTACGCTTAAAATCAATTTAGTTGTTATGGGAATAAAAGAAAAAACACTGACCCGTGCTGCAAATACCGATGTTCATTTGAAATACGATGATGAGTAAGTGCACTTTATGTCTTTGTTTTGATGTTACTAAATTTCAACAGTAAAGTTGTCTAGTTGAGAATGTCTGCATTGCATCTTATCAGATATTGGTCATGGTTTTTTCTACAATTATTGCGTTTTTGTTTCTACCGTTAAATTTTGCCAGGCGTATACTAAAAATCTGCTAGTTGCCAAATTTTGTTTCCCTTCGTCTTCCTTAAGTAGAGGGAATATACAAATAATCTTTATGTTTTTGAAAGGACTTTTGCAGCAATGGAAAGCGACTTTTAATTACTTAATTCTTTTACATTTGTTTATGAAATTGCTTAATTGGAGCGCCTCAGGATCTGAAGTCGTGTCATACTTATCAACTTTTTAAATTTTTTCATTTTTTGGCTGATTTCGCTTGTTATTTTGTATTTTCATGTAAAAGTTTTCACAGTTGTGATTAAATTTTCCTTTACCTATGCTTGAGGAACTCGTAAGGCCGAGATAAGTTTTTAAGCATTTTTTGGGCTCTGTCAAAATTATACTTTTGTGATCGTTGTGTTTGCTTTGTCTTTTTGTAGTTGAAACTTGAGGATGGCCTTTTGCCGATAAAATGCCGCCTTATTTTAAAGTTTTGTCTATCTTTACTTGAGTAACTAGCTTTTTTTTCATTTGGTCGTGTTTTTAATTCTTACTGATATGTGTTTTTTTAGTGGATTCAGTATCTTAATGGAAATTTTCAAAATGAACAAGAAGTCAAAACCACCGAAGAAAACTGTCATAGACACTAGGTATTTTGAAAAGAGAAGGCTGCCGGGGAAAATAGCGAAATGTGAATTTAAGCTCAAGAAGAACCAGTGCGTAGTGCTTATACATAAGGCTGCTCCAGGACTATGGGGCAATGCCCTCAGCTCGTGACATGAATATGACGTATTATGTACATATGAAGTCACTCGGTTCTGAAGTATCATTCCCATTATCAAAGTGCTTTTTGTGCATTTACACTTTTTTTGTTCGAACTATTTTAAAGCATTAATTCGTTTGTTTTATTTTTAGGGCTTTGTTTTATTTTATTTTATTTTTGCTGTAATTTACCGTGTATGGTATTATTTTGTCTTTCAAGTTCTTTAATGTTCATAATAGTAGTACCTATTAGCATATTCAATTGTTTTGCTGGACTTTTTTCTCTAAAGTTATACTTAATCGTTAAAAATTGGTAGTGTACTTATGTTTTCTTTGTAATGTTTTGGTTATTGTCACATGATATGGTGGTCGTCAGTGTATTTTTTTTCCTGACGGTATTTATTTGCCTTGTTTTTCTTTTCAGGACAAATTTTTTTTTTGTGAGGCAGTTCTGCACTGTTATTTCTTACATATTTCGGAATGTTCTGAATTTGTAACTGGTGAAACATAAGCTCTAGGAGAGGTCAAAGGAAGAGGCAATCTGTATTTGCAGTGCAAAACTTTCGGTTAATTAGTAATAATTAATTCAATAATTATTCAAAAGTGCATGGAGGCGATAGTGCAGAGTTTGTCGTCTTGGATAACCAATTTTTTCACTAATTTTTAAGTAAATTTTTTTTTGTACTTTCAGTGTTGCGTACTTTGCATAGTCACTGTAATTCAGTGGAGTTTAATTTATTATCTGTTTCAATTTTTTTTGTTGTTCAACAATCTACTTTTGTTCTTCAATATTGTATTTTGAGGAAATACAGCCCTGATAATATTTGGATCATTGTTTTTAGTATCTAAAGACACTGGATGAATTTGAGTCATAGTTTTTGCAGAGTTAATCTAAGCAGTAGTTTTGGTAGAAGAGAGCATTTTTTGAGTTTTTTATGTCGTTATTAGCTTTGAGACTGTAGTAGCTTGATATTTTTATAATATCAGACGATGGACAGTCATTTTTGTGGATTGAGATGGAATTTTCTTTGTTTTACGTTGCAGTATAGTGCTTTTCTTTACGGGAAAGAAGTTTTTTTGTGTTATGTGTATTCTGGTTCAAGTAGTATTTTATGGTGCATTCAAGTGGGATTACGAATGAAACTTATACTGTGTGACGGTCGGTAAAGTTTGTTAGCATTGTATACAAAAGGTGTATATACAATAACATTTGAAATATGTGGTGTCGTTTCGTAGTAGTCGTACCTTAGTGATGGATAGATAGATGAGTCTGCCGCGGAACAACGAACAATTTTGTCAAGTGTGGATACAGTCGAATAAAAGGGATGAAATCTGAGATGTGTTAGGTGTGTGTGTGTAGATTGCACCAGATATCTACAGATATTGGATTTTTTAGTTGATTAGTGCGTCACTGCTGCAATGAATCAGCAATATCGGTTGTATTTCGTCAAACAATTGTCCTGGTGTAGTTTAATAATTGAAAGAAGCGATATAATTGAAGTGGTGAAACTGTTGACGACAATCTGGTGACAGATGTTGGACAGAACTCGATGTCTGAATGTATGAAGTAGCCTCAGCAAAAATGTTACCAAATGATTGTCGGAAATAATTAATTTAAATTAGCTTTGTAATAAATGGTAATATTTCCGATAAATTATTGGTTTTGGTTGTTTACATGACTTAGAATATTTTGTCGAAGTTAGAAAACGGTGGGAA